CACAGTTGTTGAAACTTCTTTCTACCACAATAGACAGCATATAAAAACAACATTCATCACAAATTTCATCATAGGGGCATATTGGAATTTTTTTACATCATGCATAACATTCTTCCTTTGCATAACATCATAGAGAGAAATATAATTGAAACTTTTGAAGAAATTGGGTGAGAAAGAAAGGGTCCACGAGTCAAAACGCGAGTCAGATACACATATCCATACCCGTTTCCAACCGTTCTCACAACCCACCTGACACACACATCCCAATGGTCTATTAAGCCCGGTAGACGCTTTCAACCCAACGACCTCCGTTTTTACCTCTATGTGAAACTTCTTCCTTTGTCTTGTTGTTTGTGTTTTATAATAGATCTACACATACACGTAAAGAATTAAAAAGAAAAATTAAACTTCAAAGGAATAAAGGTAATATTCTTGGAGGGAAGCATATTATGTGAGCAAAGATGGATGAACTGTCAAACGTATACATGATGAGTCAAATTTGAGCTCTTGGTTAGAAGAATTTTGCTATATTAGAGTGTATCTTCATCTTCGATTCATCCTCAAATGCTATGTAGAATGTAGAAATGGCAACTTTTCCCACGGTGACCACCTTTAATAGAACAAAGAATTTCCATTTAGGTAACAAACGGGGAGTGGTTTTTGACTCCCGCTAACGAAAAATGCTATAATCGACTGTTTATAGTCTTTTTCGAAGGTCTCGTTTTATGAATTTTTATAGTATTTTTGTATGAGTTATTATTGATGGTATAATTGAGTACGACTGATATGCTCATATAAAAATAGTTTATGAAGCTATTTATTAAATTTATAATACGTTTGTATATTTTTAAATTCTAAATAACATTTTTTCAATCCTATAATATAGTATTTCTAAATACTTTTTTATTGCAATGTTTTATTAATTTTGTTATATTTTTATTATTTTCTGTAAAGAGTATAAAGTCATACACACATAATTTCATTTTATTGTTTAAATATAAATGAAATATATTTAAAATTTACTTTAAACACTCATTTATAGCTAAATTCACAAAATACTTGACTAATTTCATAATCTATTTACACTATTAAATAAAGTATTATACAATTTTCTAGAAGGGTTGTTATCCAAGTGGTACAATAGTTGAACTATTATATTTGATTCTTTTGCATGGATAAGATACTCAATAATGCAAGACACGCTTGCTATTAAGTGCAATCGAAGCCCCTTAGTAGCACACTCTACGTTGCCACAGATCTTAGGTGGTGACTTTATATTGGGTAGATCCTCACCGGTTGAGGCAAGTTCACAATTAGGAGTATACCCTAATCATTTCAACATAATACTAGTCTATCAAAGTATAGTAACTATATGGAAAAAGCTCACTATCATGTACATACATCATCTAGATCACACGGTAATTCAGTAGTCATCGTACATGGCCATACAAGTAGGTATAAACCGCCAACACCTTTTCTAGCCATCAACATCAGACATTCCTACTCTTTATGATGTATACAAGTCATAGTAAAACATAATCATACTAGTGTTCGTTTGTGAATGTATATAATCAATTGGTGTAATATTCACAAGAAAAAAGTATACACCATCACAAATAGCAAGTAATAAATAAATTATCAATTTCACATAGAATATATTATATATTATACTTTTGTGGTTAGAAATTTAAAGGAGTTTTGGTTATCATTCAAATGGGTGGGGTGATTTTAAACTAATTAAACAAAATTTATGCACAGTGCCACAAGTGTCTGAAAAAATAAAAAATAATGAAAAAATCGACAATGAGGAAGGTACGCCTAGGAGAGATTAAATAAGTAAGCTGTTGAAGTTTTGTGGTGGATTTTAATTCATTTTAATAGATTCTCAAGTCGGTAGGGTGATTACTTCCATAATCATTCTGTAATTTTTATTAACAAGGCTCTAAGACAAGAATTATTAATGACTCTCCTATTGCCTTCAAGGATTCTTAAAATGGAACTAGGGTATTAAATAGAATTTTATTGCTCATCTCTTCTTTCGAATAAGAGAACAACTATGTATATAGAATAACCAACTAACCAAACAGGTACATCGTTAATAACAACTCATTAATAAATTTAAAACACACTATCACATACTTATATTACATAAAACTCTCTGTCTCCCCTATAAGTTTTATCTCTCCATACAAACTGAATTAAATAGAGAAACTCACATCTCAATTATGTCAAATTGATATAATAAGAAAAGAGGGTAAGGAATTAGAGACTTATCAAGCTTTGTTCTATCCTTCAATGGAAGTTTCCTTCCTTAGAGCTCTCACGTCCACCTCCTTGCCTTAACTTATCCGTCTTGGTCTTCTTTTCCTTCTATAATCACAGCGGCTGGATTATGGTTCTTTTTCTTATTCTCTGGTTTCATACCAGTTTCACAACAAAAGAGCCATCTGTTGTCTCTTCCTATTTTTTTCCCAAATGTGGCTCCCGCTCTTTTTAGGTAACTTTTTTTCTTATATATTCTTCATTACTTTCCATTTAAGGTGGAAAAGGAGTAAACCGTCCACCTACGATGTTCCTAATTAGGTAGTCAATGAACCACTTGACTTGCTGATTTTGATTATAATTTCAATGTCAATCTCGAAAAATTTGTGTTTTGTATTGCTTCAGGATCAGCAATTTGTTTGCAGATTGCCAACAGGGTTGTTTCCAGATTTGCTATAACATCATGGTTCAATATACATGTTTTAAAATTTTACCAAATAACTCAATTAAATGTACAATTAAGCTCGAATCATGCAAATTGATATTTTTTTTTCATGTTGAACCACAATAAACTATTTCATACTTACTAATTAGACTAAATGGAGCAATTATTGAGAAAATGGTTTGTAGTTTCTTCTTTTTCTCAATAAGAAAGACAAAACAAGCAATCATGCACTTGAGTTAACATGGTTCATGTAACATTAACAAACATGCTCAACGGATCTTCACCTGAAGCGTAAATTCCACAAATTTCCCTTCCTCCTTTCACATTAATACAATATCACAATCTCATCCTAAAGTAAATTCATAGTCGATCGATTGTAGGTACCATTGATTTGCTTATTTAATTCTTTTTTCATGACTTATATATTAATATACTAGGTCCGACTAGCTAGGATTATCAGTTTGATAGCATGCATGCTAATTCCAAGTTGTTCCTATAAGTATTACTTATGGGAATCCTATGGTTACTTATATGGTTGACGCGTGCCTTTCCAAGCTCAAATTTCTTACCGGAGAGGATTCCAAATATTCTGAAATTTTCTTGATGGGTCCTAATTCACATTAAAGTAAGGTCAGTATTGAAATAAGAGTGAAAAACTAGCTAACGGAGGCTGAACGAAGTAAAACGGACCACTCACGTGCTTCTCATGCGCTTTTGAGGGTGCTTACCCACAAGTTTCCTATGTTGCCGTGGGTCAAACGTTGGGTCGTGTGTGGGTTTTCTGTTTAGATTCTGGCCAACCCGGATCCGTGCGCTTAATGCGTGTCTTCTTGTAGCTCAGAAGCGTTTCTCCAATGAAATTGTGCCATATGTTACTCGTCGTTTCCAACGCGCTCCTCCGTCTAGTAGGCGATGCTTAGCGGTGCGCGTTTTTCAAATTTCCATTCGAATTTTTGTAACTTAACCACCTAACTCGAATCGACTTGGTTTTTTCACCAAAATTGTAGAGTTTCTATCCTTCTAAGCCGTCGTATTTTTCTTATATTTTTTACTTGACCACTAAGTGAATTAAGAACATCAATATATGCAGAAAAACTCACATTACGGTTCTTGACCGGTTCGCCGTTCTCCAACTTGAACTCCGATTTTCGTTTGAGTTTTCTTCAAGAAATCTATGTGAATACTCTTTTAGTTATACACTTCAAAATTTATAGATCTATCATTCAAAAAACTTCTCATATCTAAATAAAATCGAAATGAAAATGCCAGAACCATACCTTGTTTGGTTCTCGATTCCGGGCAAATCCACCACCCAAACCTTTCTTCCAGCACCAAAGGAGTTTTGATCGAAAGCTTCTTGCCTTGGATCGATCTCCAACCGTAGATGTAGGGCCAACTGCTCTCTCCTTTTCCAAAACCTTCTCTTTCTTCTCTATTTTCCTTTTCATTTTCCTTTTCCTCTTTTCTTTCTCTATCTTTCTTGTTCTATCCTATCCATATAGACCCCACGGTCTGAGATAGGGACAAAATGTCATTTTGCCCCTTTGACCATTTTTTTCACAACTATTTGAGCACAATTTCCTTCTTCATCGACTTGAGTCTCAGTGTCCTCGATCTACAATAAATCTCTTAGATCTTATTATACACTATTTTGAATCTTAGGAAGGAAAAATAAGGGTCGTTAATACCTCCTAAACTCGGGTGTTACACGAACCTTCCTTATTATTGTTGATTTTCTCGTTTCTCTCTGTTTTTCGACAGCAGTTACAACTGTGAATATATTTGTATAGATAGTATAAACTCACCCACACATTTGAATGGTACTAAAAAACTCACTTAATTTTTCATCTAAAAGTAACAAAAAAAAACAATTTTTTTTTTTTTTTTTTTTTTTGGAATCCATAATTTATTTATTACTCCAATTGTGATAGTGTATACTTGTAAATTTTACACCATTTTACTATATACCTTTACAAGCGATCATAAGTCTATGGTTTCGTTATGACACATTTAAATGAATTTTCCGCGCATTATAGACATGCCATGCATGTAGTGGCAATTGATTTCAATAGGAAACTAAAGGGTTACCGTTACTAACATTTAACTTTTATTGAAAATAAAAATTTGAATAAATCTAAACTAACTCAACTCAAAAAGTTTATGGTTGGGATGAATTATATTCCTTATTTAATAAGAATTGTTTGAATTGAAAGTTTACCGCCCAAATAATTGAGCTGGATCTAAAAAAAACTTTCTTGTTCACCTAACCAAATCTATAAACACCCCTAATTTCTAGACATCATAAGTCATTTTATTTCTGAACATCTGAAACAAAATCTCGAACTAAATGATCCTCGTCCTTCCTAAATCTCGTTTCGAGTTTTTGGCTATAGATTCAGCAATATAATAATAAATAGCATTCAATTAAGCAACAAAACGAGACTTCAACATATCAATGAATCAACAACAACAAAGATATCCTTAATCTCATATCCCTCATAGGATTATGGCTCAAAGTTTAGTCAATCTTCTCAATGAATGCATTGTGGATCTGCAATCCCCCCTTCCACTTTGAACTCCAAACTTCATACAACCCAAGGTGGATGCTCCTGTTCTCTTTGGCTGTTGAAGGATCAATTGGGATTACTAAAGGCGTCTTAGGAATGATAAAATTTTGATTTGGGTGGTCGTCTCCAAGAGACACTTTCTTAGGGAAGAAGTTTCCTGACTTCCCAACCTTAGCCATTACATAAACATCAAGCCCTTTCCATCCAAATGCATCTGGCCTTAGTGAAACATTGAAACCCACTTTGTAATTCTTTCCAAGCTCTACATTATCAGTTGAGCATGTCACTTCAAGCCATGAAACTTGTTTCAGCTCGGCCAAGCTCAAATTCTCCGACCTGCACAAAATGACCCAACTTTGTTAGATCGCTCGAGCCCGATGAGTCAATGAGCTTTACTTGTTCAAAGTCGAACAAGGAGCTTAGAAGTTATTAGTGGTGGAGCATTTTTAGAAAATGTTATTAATGGTAGAGTATTTCTAGGAGAAGAATTGTTTGAATAGCGTGTTTTGTTCTCAAGTAATCGTGTTATTTATTATATCTCTTTCTGTTTCGGTTATTTATTTCGGTGTGTTTCGATCGAGAATCAAAACCAACAAAACCCAATAACTTAATTTGATATCAGATTAGGTTGCACACACCTTAGCTAATTTCATTAAACATCATCTATACTGAGGATTGTTTGGGAGAGAGTTGGCTAATTTAGGTAATGATTATGAGTTTATAAGTAAGTAATACATCTCCATTGGTATGAGGCCTTTTGGGAAAGCCCAAATCAAAGCCACGAGAGCTTAGGTTCAAAGTGGACAATATTATATCATTGCGAAGGTCGTAATGTCTAACATTGTATTAGATTCATGTCCTTAACTTAGTCATGTTAATAGAATTCTCATATGTCAAACAAAAAAAAGTTATGAGTCCTGAAAGTGTAGTAAAAAGTGACTCAATTGTCAAACAAATGATGTACTTTGTTCGAGCACTCTAAAGGAGTAGAGTCTCGATTAAGGGGAGGTTGTTCGCGGGGTACCGAACAAAGGGTGTACTTTGTTCGAGGGCTTCATAGACCTGGAAGGCTCTATAGTATACTTTGTTCGAGAGGAGGATTGTTGAAAGAGAGTTCCACATTGACTAATTTAGGGAATGATCATAGGTTTAGATATCAAAAAACTAGTAATAATAAGAAAGAAGCGTCCTATTCGAATCCTAGCTTTAAAATTAACACAATATATAAGGTTGTACACACTAAATTATCCATTACTCTTATGACAAGTTAATTTACCATTTATCAAAAAGCTCAAGTAAATTGACACTTACTCGTTGGGGTTGACAATACGCCAATAACGATGATCATTGCCCCATGTGATATTAAAGCCTCTCGGATAAATTATGACCTTTTCAAAGATCAAACATTAAAAAACTATAAGAACACTAATAAAAATCATGAGTTCCATACAATAATTTAAAGAAAAGAAATCACAAAGGCTATCCAACAACCAAACCTTATCCTTTTCCTTGTAAAAGGCATCTTCTTCTGCAACTTTGTGAGGCCCAGTTTGCATCATTGGACAAGAAAAATTAAGAACTTGAATGAAAAAGGATGAACAAAGAGGAATTGAAATGAATTATTTATAGAATGAAGAAGAAAGGGTGTTAGTAGATAAGAACAACGCCATGGGAAAAAGAAAAAGTAAAGGGGTTGTCTAGAAAGAACATATGCATTATTATATTTTCCATGGGAAAGATGATGATAAAGTTGAAAGATTGAATGATGGGTGGTGTTAAGAAGCTTCCTTTAGCACAAAAAGAAAGAAAAAAAAAGGGTTTTGTTTAGTTTTGATTCATTCATGAAGCTTCTTCCTTTGTTTTTATTGTTTCTACAAGCAAGAATAAATTCTGCCTTCGGAATCTCTCGTGTTCTTTTTCTTTTTCTTTTTCTTTTTCTTTTTATACTTTACTTTTACTTTGACACCATATCTATCAAATAGATCTGAAAATATTATTATTCAAACAAATAATAAGAGTTAAGAATGAGAAATAGAATTGAATCAAGGTTCAATCTTCAAAATAGAATTTAGATAGGAGATTCAATTTTGATTGATATTCACAACGTTTAAATGGGATACAATATACCAATTGATACGTACAAATAAAAAAATATAAACTAACTAAATCTTGAGAATAAAATAAAATATGCTACAAATCAACTAATTACTAATATGTAAGATATATTTTATAACTAATATATTTTCTAAATATTAACTGATTACGAATATCTTCACTAATTCAAATTATCAATAAGTTAGCACTAAATTTTGACATGCTCTCCTCTTCTGAAAGAGAAGCCAAGGTTATTGCAAGTACTGTAACTTTGTTCATATAATTCAAATATATAAATATAAAGTGAGGTTGTCAAGAAGATTTTGGTTGAATAGTTCGAGGTGGTACCTAAGATAAGAATGTTGGAATAAGCATATTGTGTGAACAAGGATGCGTGTATGTCGGTGTAGTGTCCACGGTCAAAACATATACATAATGGGTATTCAAAAAATATGATCGATTCGAAAAATCTAATCAATCCAACCGAATATATATTGTTTGGGTTGGATTATGAATTTATTTTGATTAAGTTATATTCATATAAATGAAAATTTTATGAATTGAGTTTATTCATGAATTAAATCTAGTTTAGTTAAATTAAACCCAATTAATATGAATTTATTATTAATTTTAAACAAACACAATTTTGGGTAAATATTTATTTTATTTTATAATTAATTTTTATTATTTATTCTTTTTAATTATTTGAAAAGTAATTTTTTAAAAATATGTATTTAAAATTAAGTGGTGAATCAGGAAATAAATAATGAGATGTTTTACCAACCAACCTTTTACTTTTACTAAAATAAAAATTGATGTCATTTAAACATATACGTGGAAATTCATAATAAATAGTTTTAAAATACGGTCATAGATTTACATATTCAGTTAAATTAATTAATTAATTAATTAAAATAACGGTCTTTGAACCTAAAATAAAACACCTATCAACTATTAATGAAATTCAATGCATTATACTCCTATCCTATCATGATTTATCTCAACTTTCATAGTCTTTTCTGCATGAGAGCTTTACATTTACATATAAAATATAAGGTAACACGTGGCTTGAGCATTTTAAGAAATACTCCGTTAGTCACTCCACTGTTGGAGTTAGTGATGTAATTAGACATATAACATGATTTCGGACTATCCTTTAAAATCGTAACATGCCCTTGGACTCTTCCAGTTCAGGGTATGTAGGGTTGGACGTGTGGTACTTCCCCACACATATCCTATGTATGCGCACATGGACCCACCAGGCAGACTCGTTATGCGTACCCCCTGGGTATGGCTTGATCAGGCATAACGCATTACACGTCATCAAACCCCACAAAAAAGGAAAGGTCCGCATAATATCATGGAAAACATAAATATCGAACGTATGCGTCTGTGCTAATATAACATAACGAGAAAGTATCCCGATGCATATGACATACATACATGCATGAAGTCCCCATAGTTTACATTCATGACATAACATTAACATCATTCCGTTTCTCCTTTTCATCCATAACATTACATAAATGGAGTATGTATACATGGATATCATCACATTATCTATCACATAACTTCGCATCGCATGGTGAGACATAACATGACATACATACTATTTCATTTCATTTATAACATTACCTAATGGATATGACATGCATACATAACATTGCATCATATGTCTACACATGGAACACATAAGCATAGCATAAAAGAATATGATGTATATAGGGGCCACAAGACATGCACCATCATATCACTCAATATATCTAACTCCAACAGTAAGGTCACTTGCTTGGTTAGCATTAGTGGAAGTTACTAATTACTCAGTAGTTGCTTCAAAAACTATATTCTAATGCTTAATTTCACCTATATCAAACCATATCACATATTTTAGGGCATATTCATATCTTATTCTAGCTAAACATGATGAACATTTCCATTATAAGTCCCTAAACTACCTAAAATTGAATATTAGTGAGTCTTACTAACCTCAATGAATTTAGCAGGGAAGAAACTTTAGGAAATTGTATGAAATTTTTATACCGAGTCGACTAAGTCGAGAAGCTGAGCCGATGCGAGCCGCAAAGACGAGCCAACGCACGAAGCTGAGCTGAGAATCGATGAGCCAACCCGAGAGGAGCCACTTTTCCATACGCTCTCAAAATATTCCTTTACCTTTATAGGGGTGTACACCCAACCCGGAAACCCGGGAACCCGACCCGACCCAACCCGAAATATAAGGGTTGGGTTGTGTTGGATTTCGGGTTTGGGTTGGGTCCATTTTTTTTAACTCGATCTGATTTGGGTTGGATTCGGGTACCAAAAGAAAATGATTGGGTAAACCCAGCCCAACTCGAAACTACAAAAAAAAAAAAATGAAATTAAAGTCCAAAGGCCCAAAGTCAAAGCCCAATATACAGAGACTTTTGTCTAGTTTCTTACCCAAGCCCAAGCCCAAGCCCAAGCCCAAGCTGACATTTCACAACCCAATAATTACCTCAGTGGTGAAAGAAATTTCTCTTTCTTTCCCTCTGCTATTGCTGAGTTCTTGCCAGTGATGGATTGTTCGGCGAGAGGAAATTGGTTGGAAGAAAAAATGCGTAAAAAAAGGAGAGAGAGGATAACTAAATTCTCACTGCGTTCAAAATCAGGTTATTGTTTATTCGCAACAAATCTCCTATTTAAAATATAAAATATTCTAAATATGCCTGTAGAGTGGCCAACTAAATGTGTGCCACTCCATCTGTGCCACTCCCTACAAAATTTCCGTCTAAAACTTTGGTGATCTATTCGACGTGATTTATGAAATGGTCAAACAGAAATTTTCTGAAATCGTGTGAATAAGGAAAAACTATAAAAAAAACTCAGGTTTTATCTAACAGCCATCCCTCTCCAATTTTTACACAAATTTCATTCCTTCCTTTCTGTCATTTAACTCAATCCTTCCTTTGACATTCATTTTATTTTGCTATCCCTTCCTCTGCCATCATCTCCTCTCCTTTGGAATTCATTTCAACTCCTCTCCTATGCACACTTCATTTCTCCTCCGCAGTCTGCAATTCATTTCAACTTCACTTCTCTACACTTCATTTCTCCTGTCCAATTCATTTCAACTCCTCTCCATAGCATTCTCTAGCGTTCTTTGTCTTGTTTCTTTCGCGCGCGCCGTCTTTCTCTCTTTAGTCTCCTGGAACGCTATAACAGGTAAGTTTTTTTTTCGTTTTTTCTCTTTTTGTTATATCCCCTTGCAAAAACTGATTGTATATTTTAACCTTGATGCATTCTATGATAATTGTTCATAATAGTTCTATTTTACTTTTTATAGATGAGAAACAATAGCGCAACAATATGTGCAAGTAGCTCTAGTAATTATAACCCAGTAAATCAACCCTGTGGGATCACTTTACAAGATCAGAGAACAATAATAAGAGGTGTAAATGCAACTATTGTTCTAAGGAGTATGCTTGTGATACTAATTCTTGTGTAACTAGCACGTTATGGAAGCACTTAAAAAATCAGTGTAGGAAGTACACATATAAGGTGGAGGACAAAGGACAAACCACTCTAAGTTTTCAACGTTCAATGGATGGAAAGGGTGATAGTAATATTGTTACTTCATTATTTAGTCAAACAAGATGTAGAGCAACATGTGCCAAGATGATAATTATGGATGAATTATCATTTAAATTTGTAGAGAATGAGGGTTTCAAATTGTTTTGTAGTATTGCATGTCCTAAGTTTGACCATCCGTCAAGAGTAACCATTGCTAGAGATATATTTCAGCTCTATCTAGAAGAAAAAAAGAAGTTCAAAGATTTTTTAGTCAGTCATTCCAAGAGGGTTTGTTTTACCACTGACACATGGACTTCGTTGTAAAATATTAATTACATGGTAATCACCACTCATTTTATTGATTCATAATGGAATTTGCATAAAAGAATTATCAACTTTTGTCAAGTTGCTAACCACAAGTGAGAGATTATTGGCAAGATTATTGAGAGTTGTTTATTGGAATGGAGAATCGATAAGGTTTTCTCTATCAGAGTTGATAATGTAAGTCCAATGATATAGCTATTTCATATATTATGAGAAGGCTTAGAAGTTGGAATTCACTTGTCTTAGATGAAGAAATATTACACCTGATGTGTTGTGCTCACATAATTAATTTGATTGTGAATGAAGGGCTTAAAGAAATGCATGACTCCATTTCTAGTGTTCGCAATGCTGTGAGGTATGTTAGATCATCCCCCAAGAGATTGACAAAATTTAAAGATCGTGTTGAACAAGAAAAAATTAAATGTAAAGCACTTGTTTGTTTGGATGTGGCGACTCGATGGAATTCTACTTATTTGATGCTTGATCATGCCTTGAAATTTGAAAAAGTATTAGAGGAGGGAGAATTAAATTATGTTGATTATTTCAAAGAGGGGGATCATGGAAACAAAAGAATAGGGCCACCAACCATTGATGATTGAAAAAATGTTGCAGTGTTTATAAAGTTTTTGAAGATTTTCTATGATGTCACTACGAAGATAAGTGGTTCTTTACATGTGACTTCTAATTCTTATTTTTATGAACTTTGGGGTATTTGAGAACTTTTAATTCAGTGGAGTACAAATGTGAACTCTGTTTCAAGTAACA